TAGTAACAAAATATATGAAAATCAAGAAATATTAGCTCAAAATATACATACATTGGAAAAAGCTAGCCTTGCCAAGGAATGATTGCAGTAATAAGTGCACAAATAAATTTATTAAATTGTTGCTGTAGTCTCAATAATGTACCGCCATCTTCTAGGAAATATCAAAAACAATATCATCTGTTTATACTAATGCCTGTGCAGTTCAATGTTTTCCAGGAAAACAGATAATAAACAATAATCGACATGGGTTTTCAGTAATTCCCAATGGCTGAAACAAAAAAATATGGTACCAAAAGTCAATTTTTAAGAAAACTTAAATTTATTTTAAATATTATACATAAATGTATTTTGCTTGACTGTAGGGACCAGATTTAATAACTGTGGAGAGTGAATTACAGATGAACAAGAAGGGAGACCAGAACGAATGTTGCAATATTGAATCTGAGTTAGAGTCATCACTATGAACTCACTTTTACCTTAAAACATATATACATATAACTATAGGTAGGTATGTATATGTGAGTTGGCATATATATTCATATCCACTCAGTAATCCTAAACAAATCCACTGCCCAAATCATGGTTTTTAACATATAATTCTTCAATAAAAAGAATCAGAATTTCTTAGATATATGGCTTATATTAAGGTCAAGACAGAGAATATACAAGATGTTTTAGTGTCTTATAGTCAATAAAAGTAACAAGAAAAGAAGAGTAGCATACCCATAGTTCCAATGTTCAAATCTGGACCAATGTGACCAAACATATGTACTTGAGATCACTCTATGGTCGTGAATAGAGCTGCTGCCCTTTTCCTGTATAACTAGACAGCCTTCCATTGTGGAGATATACCACAGCCCACTAGGTCAGCCTCCTGTCAAACAAAGGACATGTCGGTCCTTTTGTGATTTTTCTGTGAAAAATCGTGCTGTGAATATATATTTGTGAACATGTATGATTTCAGGGTTAAATAGCAAATTTTAACCTTAGTTCTGTTCACACAGTCATTTCTCACCTAGACCATATCTAAAACTTCCAAATTTCTCTCTGTGTCTTGATTTTATAGCTTTACCACACTTATGTTAAGATTGTTAGTCTAGAGTGCAAATTTAATCATTTCAACCTTTTGCTCATAACCTCTCAATGTTCCTCCATCTATGTAAGATGAAGACAATATTGCTGAGAGAGATGGATCAAATCCATCACTTGCTTTGCTTTCTGGTCTCACGTCTAGTACTTCAACTCATACAACCTGAATTAGCAATAAATATGATCCTTCATGTCCTGCATCTAATTTTTCTCTAACTGATGATCTTTAAAAATATATAAAAATTTAGTTCAAATTCTCTCTCTCAGTCTTCCTGATATCCCCCTAACTCACAGTTAGAAAGCATGTTTTACTCACGTAGCACTCTGTATGTACCTCTAAGCCTAGCTCACATTTTTACCAGCTCTTTATTAATAAGAATTGCTTACTCTGTATAAGAACTGTGCTGAAAGTTTGTATGTATTCTCTCTCTCTCTCTTCATTTTTTTCTTTTTGGTGGGACTGAGTTTGAACTCAGGGCCTCTTCCTTACAAAGCAGCACTGCAGCACTGCAGCACTTGCGGCACACCCCCGGTCCATTGTGCTCTGGTTATTTTGGAGATGGTGTCTGTGTTGGGCTGTGTTGGGCCCAAACTACAATGCTGTAAATCTCAGCCTCCCAAATATCCATGATTATAGGTGTGAGCCACTGTTGCCAAGCTTGTATACTCTGTTAGAACAGAAAAGTTAGGTAACATATCCATGGTATCATGGCCAGGAAACTTGGGTCTCTCATCTGAAGCCAGATATTCATTATTAGTCTATTTTTTTTTGTCTTTTTTGGTGCTGGGATCGAACCCAGGACCTCGCGCATGCTAGGCAAGCACTGTGCCACCAAGCTACATCCCAGCCCCTCATTATTAGTCTAAAAGCCTGAGGTCTTTTAAGAAGATCACACTACCTTTCTGAGTGCTGTGGATTCTTCCACTGTTCAGCTCCTAGACCCCTTGCTGTACATAAACTGATGGACTCAGTAGGTTTTAACAAAGAGAACACAGAACACATCAGGCTACCTGACTTGCATCCTAGCTTTTGGCTTTATCTTTTAGTAAGAACTTTAAGCAAGAATTTTAGCTTTTAAATGGGTTTTATAATGAATTCAACGATATCCAAAATAAATCAAGTGGAATATGTAAGAACTTAGCCCAACACCTGTCTCATTAGTGAGTACTCATAGGCATTAAAAATCTAGTAATAGCAGAGGTATTGTTTGATTCCCCTTTATTTCTCAAGTACATGGACAGAAAACACGTATGGTAGGCACTCAATTATGACATCACTGTTTTAGATACACATATATATGTGTATGCATGTACAAAAAGAGTTTAGATTCATAAAATAAAATAGAAGTGACAATTACATGGAAAAATAGATGCTAAAAGAAAACAGATTACTAAGCTGGAAAACTGTAGTTATGTCATCTGTATATTAGTCTAGGTGAGACAGCTGAATAAAAAATAAAACTTTTCCTGTAGCCATATCAGAAGTGTTGTTACAACACATGAAACTCCAATCTTTCAATTTTGTGAAGAATAAAATTTAATAATTGCATCTGTGTATCAGGAAGAGCTTCACTAGTTACCTAAGTAGGTGATGAGCATAACTGTTTAGTGCATTTTGCAATTTTAATTTAATTTAATTTCAACTGAAATTTTATGTGGCCTATTTTATTATCTCCTTAAAATAGAAACAGAATGCTATTATTTGCAGCCTTGCTCTTCACACAGGCAGAAAAGATAAAAAGGAAAACATTTCAAATCCCACTTGATGTGGAAGAGTAAAATCTCATAAACTAAAATGACAAATGTATGATTTGTGTAATCCAATTACTCACAAATAGATTGTTTTTGTCATGATAATCTGTGGTGAAATTTAATGGGAAAGAGGATAAATAGCAAATAATAATAATAATGATGTGGTTTAAAAAGGAAAATCCAGGGGAGGGAGATAAAGGAGAGTGGTGGAGGGGGTGAATTCAAGTATGATGTATTTGATACATTGTTAAAATTTTTGTATGCCAAAATGTACCCCTACCCAGCACAACAACAAAAATAATAAATAAGGGCAAAATTCAGAATATAGGAAGAAAGCATCCTGATGTCTTAACAAGGTATTTTAAACACTGTCTGCAAACTACAGATACAGGTAATTGGGAACACCTGATATAAGGAAACAGTGAATAGTGTTGCAAAGAATACAGAGCACAAACCTCTAGTCCACATGCTGATCTCAAGTCTTTTGAGTAAATAAACATCCAGAAGGAAATACTTGATCATATGGCAATTCAACTTTTAGCTTTTTGAGGAATCTCCATATAGTTTCCATATCTGCTGTATTAATTCATATTTCCACTGACAGTGTACAAAGGCTCCCTTTTCTCTATATCCTTGTGGTTTCAAAATCACCAAGAGCATAGTTCCAAATGTTCTCAATACAAAAAAAGAAAATTATGAGAAGTGATAAATATGTTAATTAGATAGATTCAGTTATTTTGCATTATATTCATAAATATTAACATCCCTTTGTACCCCATAAATATATGTGCCTAAATTTTGTCAATTTATAATTAAAAATAAAAATTCAAAGGAAAATGCTTGAAGTAGTGAAGGTAATACATATTTTTTAAAAAATCTTTATCAGGTAGGATTCTTGCAAGATTTTGATAGTTCTCTCCTTTTCCCCAAACATTACAGTTGACAAACTTAGGTACTTGCTATATTTCAAAAATTTTAATAAGAGACACTACCCTGTTTTCTGTAACCTTTAAGGGGAATCAATACTTTTAATGATTCTTAGTTTACTGGCATTAGGGAATTGTGTTTAGTGATTGGGAAAAGTCAAAACATACAAAGGAAATGAGAGACCTGCTGTTCATTACTACCACAGCTACCACTGTCACTCCTCTGGATGTGGCCTCCAGACAACCAAGTTCAAAGGTGACTCTGGAAAGAAAGTGATACCATAGACCTAGAACTTTCTAGGATAATTTTCTCATTTGCTTTTATACAGTCAAAGCAATACTGGCACTATCAACAAATAGCCTATGTCTTCCTAGGGGTCACTGCGGGTAGAACTCGCATTCCAAATCCCCAAACAAAAAAGTGATGGTATGGAAACCAGTCCATTTTCTATCAGACACTTGTACACACTGCTCTTGTCCTCCTCCTTCATTAGTCTTTGAACCATGTCCCCCCTGCTCCTGAAGTGAGACATGCATAGAAGAAAGGGTCTCCCTCAATAAGCCACTGGAAAGAAAGAGGGGAGGCTTTCATCACTTTTGCTTCTTCACACTTCACTTAGTTCTTCCTACTTTGCCTCATGTCTGTCATAGTAGAGGTCCCTTTCAATTTTCTGTCTTTCCCCCATCCAGTTCTTTCCCCTTAACTTTGTGCACTATTTAAATTAACCTTTTCCTTCCTTCTCCCTTTCCTAAGATCTTTAAACTTCCCAGGCTGTCTTCCCCAGCCTTACCTCCTCCAATTCTTTCCTCTTTGTCCCCAGATTTTTAGACCCACCTAGGGCAGCCCTTTGCCCATCTTTTCTCCTTTCCCTCGCTGAGCACCTTCACCTCATCCATCCATTCCCATCACAGGCTTTCCAGATTCCCGGGCTGTTTGCTGGTGAGAAATCTTTGCTGCAGCCAGGACCCGGAGTCCCCCGCGCGCAGCCCAGTGGCAGAAAAGGGCTAGGCTGAGAGCGAAGGCAAGGACGCCAGAGGAGGGAGGCAGCCGGTCCTGCCCGCCAGCCTGCAGGATGCGGCAGGGGACCGGGGCCATGGGGGGGTTTTAACCTCCCGAGCCCCTGATCCATGCTTGCAGATCTGGCCAGTGGGCCAATTTCCTGCCAAGTGAAGCCAAGAAGCAGGGGCGCCTGGAAAGCAAAAGAGAGGGGCGCTTTGAGGGGGTGCCCATCTCTAGAGTCCGACCCTCTGCGCACCGGGAAAGAGGAGAGTAGGAAGTGTGGCGGGGAAGGAAAACCCTGTCTCCAGACTGGATTCGGAGCGCGTCGCAGAGTCCAAGGCGCTCGGGTGAGCACCCACTGGGAGAAGCCAGGCTGGCGGTGGGCGAGGGGCGCGTGGAGCAGTGCGCGCCCGGGTTGGGGACGCCGGGAGGGCGGCGATGCCTGGAGCTGGTGCAGGCTTTGGTGCGGAGGGGGGAGATGCGGGCAGGCGCGAGTCGGCGAGCGCGTGCGGCGGCCGTGGCGCCAGTGTTTGTGTGTATGTGAGAAGGCGAGGGGCGAGCGCGAGTGCAAGTGAGGCAAAGACAGAGCGCATGTCTCATCCCTGCGCCGCCAGCAGCCACTAGACGCTCCACCACCATCTTTTGCATGTGAAACATTTGCAGCCGGACAGAAAACCTCTCCCAGAGCTATGGAGACTGCGGGAAAAATCTGGCAGCTCGGGATGGATTGCTAAAGGGAAATAGTCCTCATCACAAACCAGCCAAACCTATCTCTCCCTTTTTTTCTTTTTTCGGTTGTTTTCAATTTTAGCGCCATCGTCTTCAATGCCTCTCTGAACAACCTTTAGCAAGAGTGTTAGAGAAAGAGAGAGCGCGCGCCAGGGAGAGGAGAATAAGAAGATGAGGATTATTTGCAGACAGATTGTCTTGTTATTTTCTGGATTTTGGGGACTCGCCATGGGAGCCTTTCCGAGCAGCGTGCAAATAGGTAAGCTATGCTCCTCCGGTGGGGTGTGAATGTGGCTGAGCAGTTATCCAAAAAAGTGAGTTAAATGAGTTGCTGATAAGCAATTCGGGGGAAACCTTCGGAGGCTCCCTTCCCTCCTCTTCTTCTCTCTCCCTTTTACAAAGATAGCCTCTTTGGTGCAGGTTCCACCAGAATATCCACAGGATTGTCTACCTATCCTTCTCAGCCCTTACTCTGATTCCACCTTTAGCTCCAGTCTGTTCAGTAAGATTGGAATAAGTTGGGGAAAACAAAACCTCGGAAGGGTTCTATTGTATTTTAAATACTATTCTCCCCCCCCGCCCCAAACACACACACACACACACACACACACACACCTCACTTTCTCTACAGCATGGCGAGATACCGAGTTTGTGTGATTTTTTTTTTTAAATCCACTTCTTCCCATACTGGACGCCACAGCCTTCTCGCTATTTAAGAGATTGGCTAAAAAAGCGTGTCCACCTGGACCTCTTGAATTTTCTTGTTATGGATTAGCAGATTCCAAAGTTAGAAAGACCAAAGACCTTTTCTCGTTTTATTTTGTTTTCTACTGAAAGCTTTTGCCCTTATTGTTCGCTTTCCACTCTGTTTCCACGGACCTCTTCCATCCTTGGCTTTTCTTGCTATTCTGCTCTCCTGTCTTTTCATGGGACGCAGATATTGAATTTCTTCCAGCTAAACCCAGCCTCAACACTGCATCATTTCTCGTGGACTGTGCACAAAACGGAGCTAATTAGGCTGAGTCCATGAGCAGCAGAAAAACTAAGTTCATTTCTCCTTTCTGATTTGTTTTTTCCTGGGTCACCACATTCCTTCATCTCTGTATTTTAATGTAAAATGTCTTTTCCATGTGTCTGCAAGCTCCCTGATAGAAAGCAATGCCCAGAGCTGGCAACGAGCAGCTTGCTGGGAATCCTGGAGAGGACAAGTGAGAGAAAGCCAAACACACTACATGGTCTCAGAGGTCATTGTGATCATGACAAACTGAAACAAGAAAAAGCTGAGCTGTCCTCAAGACTAAAATACTAAGCATACACCTTAGGGACAAAGGCCAGGCTCCCAAGACGTGGTGGTAAAGATAGCTCCTTAATTGTATGTGCTTGAGAATGGCAGTAGATTTGACAGTGTTTGAGGTGGCTTTCACATTTGCAAGAGGAAGCATTGAATGTGCTTTTCTGCTCTTTTTCAATAGGTGGTCTCTTCATCAGAAACACAGATCAGGAATACACTGCTTTTCGATTAGCAATTTTTCTTCATAACACCAGCCCCAATGCGTCGGAAGCTCCTTTCAATTTGGTACCTCATGTGGACAACATTGAGACAGCCAACAGTTTTGCTGTAACAAATGCCTGTAAGTAAAAGATAACTTATGGATAAATACAAAGAGAATTAAAGTGAGGCAATGGATTCTCCTTCCCCTTTATTATTACTATATCTTTTTTTTTTAACAAAGAAATTCACGATTCCCACAGCTTCTTAGTTTCAGAGAAAATCAGAGTTGAAAAGATTTAGTCAGGAATATTTATCTAGTCAGTGTTTCCTTCCTTCCTTCCTTCCTTCCTCACTCCCTCCCTCCCTTCCTTCCTCATTTCTTTTCTGGACGATGCAACTCTAAATTTTCCTTTAACATTTCAGTGTTACTCCTTTCATTTGAGTGCCTCTTTGGTGAAAATTGTACTAAATCTATTTGTTTTTTCTTCTGTTCCTTTGGCTTTTCTCATGTGCTTTGCACTTGAGTAAGCTCAGGTCTTGCTTTTAAAGAAGACACACACTGATCTTTTAGGCTGGTAGAGGTGAGGGAAGGTTTCCTAAGAGTAGGAAAAGAGGAGAATGGTGGTGTGGAGGAGGTATACTGGAGTCGGTTGGTTGACGAGGCAGATGATCTGGTGATGTCACTTGACACTGTCCTGCTCTTATATTCTGGGTTGTAAATGTCTCCTACTATCACCTAATGCATGTATCCTGTGGATATAACTCCATGAATCCTTACCTGGGTGTCAAATGCATTTAGTTTCTGATCCACCTGAGTTCACAAACCAACCCAGCTGGATCTATTATCCTGCACCATGAAACTAAATGGGTGGCCTCACCTAATGCTACAAGGAAACAGTTGTACACTGTTCCCCACCAAGATTCTGTGTAACTTAATGCAGAAACAATATAATCAACTGTGGGTTAATTGAAAGCACTCTTAATACGCAATCAGTCAATAGCATTGTGCTGCCTTTTCATTCTTGCAGGAAGTGCATATTTCAAATGCTTCCTCCATTTTTATGTGCTAATTTATCACTGCTTGAAATTTCTATATTAAGGTAATGGTTTTGGATTGTCTAAGACATAGAGAAATGGTTTCTATATAAATTTATTAATGGTTTCACAGCAGCAATGAAATGTTTAATCTGAATTGTAGAATATTTTTATTGTAGAAATAGGGACATCTTTTAATTTAAAAAGTCCTCTCAGTACAAAAAAGTGTAGTGAACAAGGAAAAAAGTGAAGCTGAAAACAAAGAGTTTTCAAATAATTGGAAGATATCTGTTTCACAAATGTAAATATTTCATTAATATGTATTTGTTATTAATACATTTAACAGATAATATGATCATTTTCCTTGATTGGGGGTTCTGCTTATTACTTCTTTTTAGAATTTAGTTTCATAAAGAGGTTGAGGCATTGGAAATTTTGTAAAAGGGCACAGTGTACTATTTTTCATGAATGTTATAGCTCCTATGAGTATTACTTAGTTTAAAAACTGATTTGTTTTATTTAGTGATAGGGTTAAAATTATATTAAAGCAGAAGAGAGTATTTTTTAAGCCAAAATGTATATGATGTATATACATAAATGAGGCTATGGATATTCATCTTTATAAGTATTGTAAGTTATTAGCCTTATATGCCAAGTGTTAACAAAGGATGTCAACACTTCAAATAGCTGCATGGACACATCGGCCTTAACACATGAATGTTATTTGCCTATTTAAATACTTTTCTGGTGTCTCTGCTAAGATTCTGCAATACAAATTTTACTAGCTTTAAAAATAATTCATTATCCAAATATATGAGAAGGTGCTTTGTCAACAGTAAATTATTTTCAGGATATTACTGTTAAATGTTGAATGATTTTTTAAAAGTAGTCTTATTTTCATTAGTTAAGATCTTAAATGTACTAAAGTTTGTGCAGTAACTTCCAGCGATATAAACTGTAAAGTGCTAACCCTTTTTCCTCCATATCATCTGTTAATCTTATTTGGGATCATTTTAAGTAGTATTGTTTTATTTGAATAACAAAAATGTACATGAAATAAAGTGTTAGTGGCAAAGGTCCTGTAAATATGAGAAATTGATGAGAAGCTGCAGAAAGAATATAAAAAATAGAAAAAGCATAAACTATAAAAACTGCTGTTATTTAACATGATAGGACTGAGAAACTCAGTTTTGAATCCTAGTATTTCGCGATATTGGTGATGTAATCTTTTTTAAACCATCACATATAATTGATTTTGTGTAGGTGTTTTCAAATATTTGGTAAAAAAGCCAAGTTTTAAAGAAGGAAAACCGTTTTCTATCAAAGAAAAGGGCAATTATTTTGACAAATGAGTATGTTAAATGTCCTTAAGGCAAATCTAAGCCAAATTTGGAAAAAAAAGTCAACAGTCATAGAGTCTGGGTCAGGTGATTAGTGACTGTGGCATAGACTGACCAAAAGCATATGCACATATGATTTTTTTCAGTCTAATTAATGCAGTCAGCATAAGGCAACCTCACATATGAAGCTGAAAGCCTTTGGTTACAAAAGGGTAAAAACTGGTCTTGACATTTAGTTTTCTGGAGAATTAATCTGGAATCTTTTCCTTGCTGTGGTGCAGATTGGATTTTCAAATTTGTCATGTTGTATTAAACATAAAGATTTAATATGTGATATACTGCATTCCTTTTCATTGTGATTTTCCTATGGTGGCTCTTTGCAAAATTTCAGAGTCTGGTGTCTGTGATTCTGGCCATTAAGGAGAGTATGTTTAATTATTCTATGGAGGATATACTCCCACAAAAGATAGATTAAAGAATATGGTATATTGGTCACCTAGCAGACAGAAATAATTTAATGCTGGCCCTTCTTCTAAAAATCAAATTAGTGCTCTAAGAATATTGTGGGCAACAAAACTCTTCTCTGTATGGAGTTTATATACTCACCAGTCTGATTAGCTTAACCTAGCATTTTTTATATAAATCTCTAGTTCCTGGATATTGTAAAAATAAAGTCATTGTGGGCAATATTCTTTAATTAAAATTCCATGTAATTACATTTCAGATAGTTATCTCTGCAAACAAACATGATAATTAAATTGGATAGAATTCTTTATGAAATATTTGCGACAACCTAAAATAGGCTTGTTTATAAAATATTTTCCCAATAATGAATAGATATATTTTGATTTAGAGGATAATGTATGTTAAATTTGACCAAAAGTAGTGACCAACATACTAAATTACTCTATCACCAAATTTTCAAAAGTATAAAAGTACTTGAGATATTTCTATTACTAGTTCAAATCAGCTACATTAGAACCCTTGCAAAAGAATC